ACCTCTCCTTTTGGATCATGCATGATTTTTGTAGTATTTTACGACCATTCGATCTAGGTTAGTAGTTTGGTGATTTTTAGCCAAGGAAGTGGATAAAGTTTCAAATTTTATCCATTAAGATAAAATTTTATTACATTTTGGAGATTTTGAGCTATTGTCTTAATGTATTAACAATGCTACACAATGTGTACAACCCTTGTACGTGGCGCATAGCATTAATCATACACTTCTTTTGGCATTTTTTGTATGTAGCGCTTACATGTAAGTCACACAACACATATGTATGTTGACTTTGACCAGTTACCTATTGACTTTTTGACCAACTTAACTTTTGGTTAGACTTGAAGGTTTTTAGTTGTAAGCCGATGTTTGACCCCTGTTTGTTACCTAGGTGATTCCATGATTTGTTAGATCGATTCTTGCGTGTTTGAGCATGTTGCTGCATTTATCATCACGTTAGCATATTCAGGTGAGCTATCTCAATATGTTATGTTATAATGTATATCCTTATATGATAGGATATAGTGACTGCTAGAGTAGAGTTGTATGTGACTATGTGTAGATTACTATAGTCTCTTGTATGATTGGTTGTATGTTTATATGATTCGTTCATATGTCTGTATAAGGATTTGATGGCCGAACGACGACATGTCATGAGTCCAAATACACATGTTATCAGTGGAATAACGAGAGGTTGTGAGCCATCGTTTTGTATGTATTGTGTATGCATTGTAATATATGTTATTTTTGAGAACTCGTTAAACTTTATGCTTACAATTGTGGATTAAATGTTTTTTAGGTTGTGTTTCTTGTCTTTATGCTTTCAAGACTTCCGTCACTTTTAAGGATTTTGATATAATGAGTTCACACGTTAAGTTTGGTGGTTTGAAACTATTGCTACTTCATCTTTATGAATATAACTGTTGTTTTACTTATATGATTGGTTTGGAATTTAAAACGTAAAAATATGACTGGTTTTTATGAAAAAAAATAAATACAAATTAATAGTTCTTGGAATAAATTGTTAAAAGTATAATGTTTTTTTCCCAAAAGAGAAGTAACATTAAAGTATGTATACTACTTATGGTGGTTAAGTGAAACTCAAATAATGGGTGAATAAGTGTAATAATGCGTATGCGTTGCAATTTAAGGATGTTAAATGAAACTCAAGTAACGTTTTTATGTGAATAAGTGTAATAATGAGTATGCCATATGCGTTGCAATTTAAGGATTGAAAAGAGGGATTTTATTTCACACACGATTTTCCACCCTAAATTCAAACTATAGCCTATGAAAGTATGAAACTAAGTAAGTCATCAATAAAAGTCAATAAGAATAATAAGGATATACTTATTTTATCAAATGTTCTAAATAACCTAAGATGTCACTTGATGACAATGTCAAGCCAAATTACAAGCTTTTTTGAGTCGTCGCGAACCAAATCGTTTGTAAAAACGTGACTTAAGTCAGCAATTTTGTGTATATTTAATAATTTTATATATATTTTTCTACTATATATATATATATATATATATATATATATATATATATATATATATATATATATATATATATATATATATATATAAGTTTAGGTTCATTTGTGACCATTCTAATTTTGTGAGACCATGAGACCAAATCTAAAAATAATTTTAAAATGCAAAATAAATGGAAAAATCCAAAAAAAAATTTTTTAAATATTATTTTCGGAACTTAAATAAATAAAAAACAAAAAATAAAATAAAATAAAATAAAATAAAATTACGTTTTTTTTAAATACGTGAAATATTCTAAATAGAATATTACACTGACATATTCTAAAAAATAAATTTAAAATGCAAAATAAATGGAAAAATCTAAAAATTCTTTTTTAAATATTATTTTCGGAACTTGAATTAACTAAAAAAAATAAAAAAACATTTTTTAAAAAAAATACGTGAAATATTCTAAATAGAATAGTACACTGTACATATTCTAAAAATAATTTAAAAAATGCAAAATAAATGGAAAAATCAAAAAATTCTTTTTTTAAATATTATTTTCGGTACTTGAATTAACTAAAAAAAAATAAAAATAAAATAAAAAAATGTGTTTCACGGTCTCACAAAATTAGGCTGTTTCACATAAACGTAACCCTATATATATATATATATATATATATATATATATATATATATATATATATATATATATATATATATATATATATATATATATATATATATATATATATATATATATATATATATATGGGTAAAGTGAATATACCTAACAACCTTATATAAGCTTAGGTATCTAACCTCATCAAGCTACGTCATTTTGCATTAAATTTTCATTGCAATCATCCAAGGTTCTTAAATTTCATCCCTAAACTTGATTTACTTCAAAAAAATTTGAAAATTTATCATTATATTTCTCCTACATCCTTTCATTTGTAGCGGTAGGATATGAAGCCCATTAGATGGTATTCGATAGAAAGACGTGATGTAAAAGAAATATATTGTTGAAAATCCAAAGATTTTGGAAGTAATCAAGTTATGGGGTTGAAGTTTAGGAACCTTAGGCAATTACAATATAAATATGATACAAACCGATGTAGTATTATGAAGTTAGGTACGTAAGCTTATATAAGGTTGTTAGGTATATTCACTTTACCCTATATATATATATATATATATATATATATATATATATACACACACACACACACACACACACATATATATATATATATATATATGTGTGTGTGTGTGTGTGTGTGTGACTTAAGGCGATATTTTATCAAAGTTTGATGACAAATACAAGCTTTGGAGTCATGACACATTGTGGTGGAACCGTGATGAACTTTTTAAAACATTGCTGATTATATACTTTTAGATACCATCTTTTTCGGAGATTTTATTCGCACGCCTACTCCATCCTAAAATTTAAATTATAGGATATGAAACTAAATTATGGTTAACTAAATAGATATTAATGACCACAAAAATGACATTTGATGTGGAATAAGATAGCGTTCACATTAAATTATTTCAATATAACTAAATAAAATTAATCATGATAAAAGTGACATTTGACGCAACTTCTTCGAAAAAAATGACCCCCTTCAATTTTAGCAAAAGATGCAATATAATTTCTATAAAGTATAAATTATAAAAAAAAATAATTAACTTGTGGGACACTATGATAATATATAGGTACTAAATCTTAATGATGTTATCAGTAAATGATCGGAGAGTTGATGATATCATTGACGAATTTGCCAAGTTATTTTATAGTCACGGAATTAAACACAATTGATATGGTTTTTGGTAAAATGACTCAATTAACCAAACTTATCGATTTGTTATGAAGTACGTTGTTTTTCAATTATTTGTAATTATCGAGGGGCTTAAAAATGAGATAATTGTAACCCCTAGGTTTAGATGATGGTGATTATCACTTAAAAATGAAGTACATTGGTTTTCTCATAGTGATAATCACAATCTTATATATATTTTTAAGTTTATGAAGTATTTGCCAAACTAGACCCACATAGCATATTTAATGTCAATCTTATATATAATTGGTTCTTTACTTTGTAATTCCATGAACAAAATCATTTTAAAAATAAGATAGTTGTAACACCAAGGTTTAGGGGTTATATTTTTCCACAATTTTTATCATTTATGCTTAATGCCATTTATTTTGGCCTTAAAGGTAAATTGTCATTTAAACAAATTCATGTGCATATAGCCCTTACGAGACTCCCCTAGGATCAAGGAACATGAAGATGTTTAGTACAAACATTAGACGTTGAAGTGCAGTCTGTATAATAGTATTTGGTTGAGGAATGTATTTAACAAATTGCTGCATGATCGTTTGTGATCTAACCATAAATAATAAACCAAATAATATTAAGAAGTTATGACAATAAAGGTTTACTCGACAAGGAGTTTCAGTTCAAAAAATGTGTTTAATTAGCTCAAATTATAAACTAATAATAACAACTTATATTCAACCAGAAAACTGATTTTGCTTTAAGATTTATTAAGAAAAACTAGGATGCTCAAAAATAAAAAATAAATCATACACAATTGAATGAATGAATATAGGAAACAATGTTATTTTTTTTATCAGTATAGTAAATTTAAAAAAAAAAAAAAAAAAAAAAAAAAAAAAAAACCCATAGATTCCGAAATGTAATCACATAGACATCGTTGGACATTATGAGAGGTTAAAATGCAGAAAAAATAAGAACATGAACTTTAACTATTATGAAAATGATTAACAAAGGAAATGAGTAATATGTTTATCAATCGAAAGAAAGTGGTTATTACTCTAAAAGAAATTTATGGGTGAGAGATTTTCCACCCGTTCTCTCTAACTAGACAAAGACCATATTTGGTGTATACTAATAAATGACCACTTCCTCTCTATTTATAAAGATAGCGAAATCTTCTATAACAGAAATAAATATTCTAACCTAATTATCACTCAACATTATAGAGTATTTACGTGCTCCAACAATCTCCCTAAATGTTTGCAAGTAGTGAGGTACACTGAAAATTTGTATCGATCGGATACACTTCAATTATGAATAACAAAGAACAAACTAACTAAACTGGAAAACAAAGAACACGAATAATCACAAATATGTTTTCATTAAGAAAGGGTGTTCTCACCAAGAGAACAAATGTCACAAAGACGGTCACCAAAACATTACATTAGGGTTTCACCCTAATGTTGAATATATACGATTACATACCTGATATCATACTAAGTAAGGGATGCATACCTATCGAAGTAACGTTCTGATCCTAATCACGAAGAATACTGATCAAATATCTATTATATACATATATGTATAACTACCTAGGATACAAAACATCATTATCCTCACGCCGACGCTGATAAGGTCTTGTGTTGGCGCTGATGCTGGTGGTCAGCGTATAGACTGTTTGACTCATTAGATCATAATGTGTGACCTTACTATCTCCCCCTATCTAATGATGTCAAAACTAATCTTCAACGAAGTCAGTAAGGTCATCATTTGAGAATTTTTCAGCTTTAGTTAAGATCTCAGGCTTTAACCACTTGGAGTCATCAAGATGAAGATCAGTAAGATGCTTATTGAGTTTAAAAGAGATCAGTACACAATATCCTATTTCCATATATTTATGTCGCATACCCTCCAAATGAAGATTGAACAAATGCTCGATGGGCGCATCGAGAAGATCTTCAATGTGTTGAAAGCACATTTGATTTTGGCTAGCAAGATAGAAAATACCATGTTCTAGTTCCCAGATGAACATGTGTTGAATTGGCTCAATACCTACTGACTTCTTGTTGTTGATGTAGCGAGTGCCATATGGAAGAAGAAACTTAGTGGATTTTGATATTTTGGGCTTGCTAGTTCTTTCTGAAGTGGATGGCTGGGATGGACCAACTGAAGGTACTAAGTTCAGCTTCTTAACTTTGTTGATCAGAGTTTCGATAGCTAACTTTACTTCCTGGGCATGAATACCTTTGTGTTTAGAGATTATCTCTTGAATTTGTATCCACTCGTTGTAGCCATATTTAACCAGTTCACGAGCAAAAATAACTTCAATGTCTTCATCCTCAGCCTTTTCCTTCACCATATGCAATTTTAGACATTTGTTTTTGGGTTTGGTGCGTATGACTTTGATGATGGGATCAGGTTGGTATCTTCTTCGTAGAACATTCCCAAATTTCTTCTGATTAATTGATACAATCATTCCGCTCAGATACTATGTCGTGTTTGGCTACATCAATATTAAAGCGCTGAATGTTGGTCTTTTGGGCGTCAACTGAAGTAAGGCGTTGAACAAGTTTGATAGACCAACGTTCCTCTTTTCTTCTTTTAACTGAGGCATTATCTTCTAACATGATTTCTCTAAATTCTTCAACGGTCACTCATCAAACAATAGCTAAATCCTCCAAGTCAAACATCAGCATGCATCTCTTGGGAGGAGGGGCTGAAGAACCACTAACAGCAGAGGAACTTCCAGCTTCAACATCATTTGCTCCCCTTAAGAAGGACAACTTCCTTTTTTTAGGATTGAGTTGTTCATCATCAGACTCTATGTCGTTGGTTCCTTGAGAAATCTCCCCCTTAAAATATGTATCAAGGTAAACAACACCCACGGGAACAACTTGTGCAATAAACCCTAAATCAAAAATCCCTTTATACTCACCAGTCACAGACTGATCCCTGTTTGTTGCGTCAGTTTCTAGGATGGGATGATCTTGTTCAGCCACAACAATTGCCTTTTGATTATCATTTCTTCCTGATTCATAAATTTTAGGCTGCAATGGAATTTTTCCAGTCACCATTTGTTGATCATTGCTCTCGCATTATCAATTTGGGGAGGGGAGTTAAGTGGTGGAGAGGGAGTGCGAGGAGCGGGATGTGATGGTGGAGGAGGAGGTGGTGGTGGATTGCCTAGAGAGGTAAGAGGAATATCTTAAATCATCCAATCATCATAATCCAAAAGCATTGATCATTTCATATTAGCCTCATCTTTCTCTACTTTGGTTAGTCTTTCTCCTAGTGATTGAGTCATCTGCATCACTAGAGAGAGCTGAGAGAGCACACTAGTTTTGAAAGTTGGAATTGGACTCTCCCTGATATGTAGAAGCGGTCTGAAGAGGTGTTGGCATTGGATGGATATTTGCGACTTGAGGAGAAGGAGACATTGATCTAAGAGAACTCACATATTAGATTAGTGTATCAGTGAATTCCGTTTGAGGTGGAGTTAATCCTCGCTATACAAAATCTTTTGCAAGAGTTTTGGATGATGTTGAGGATGAGGAGAAGAAAATATGTTGGTTAAATCTTGGAGCATAATTAGCCATTCCTTGAACAGAGGCATCTCCTTTATCAGTGGAAAATTCATCTTCATCAACATCAATGTCTTCTTCATCATCAGTGCCTTCTTCAACATCAGCGCCTTCTTCATCATCAGAATCTCCATGATTATCCTCATCATCCTTTTCTTTAGAGTCAGGTGATTCAATAGTGTAGGGATTTACAATCCAATTTTCCGACTTCTGAGTAATTTGCATATCTCCATCAGAAGGAGCAACACTGATGATATTTGATAGAGTTAGAATTTGAATGACGACTCCATGATTGACATTATAATCCTCTTCATTACGAGCCAAAATAATTCCAAGCCAACGAGGATAAGGAGCATAGATTGACTTCTTGCTCCCAATGACATATTTAATCAGTTGAACACGGAAGAGTTGAGAAAATCCAGTCTTTTAGTGAAAGCCATGGAATACATAATTCATTGCTTAAACATGATTAACTGATCTAAGCTCCTAGTTTTATGTCCAAGGCATTTACCAATCACCCCAGATAAGTACTTCCATCCTACACCATAACACTGATGAAGGGTGTATTTGGGTAGATCGCGAGAGGTGCCCTGAATCGGAAAAGTTATACCCTAATCTTGAACGAATAGAATTACATTTTTCGTTAAAATGGATTTTAGAATAGTTTTCTGATCGGAGAAGACGATGAGCAGTTCGAAAAGATTTCGCATTGATAGTAACCCTAGATTGTGTTGGATTAGTGTCTAAGTCCATAACTGTTTTGGTATGTACTTGACCCGATTATGAGCATGGTCCTTTTGGGTTGCCTTCACTATAGCAATATGTAGGATGATTTAAGAAGAGAAAGGTTTAAATATGATTTATTAATATATTATGAGAATAATATATTAAAGGAGAAATCATATTGTTTAATTAATATTGGTCAAGAATTAATTAAGAATTAATTTTGTGGCTAAAAGAGATTAATTAAACTTAGGGGACTGAAGTTGTAATTATAAGATAATTATAATTGGGCTATGGATCACCTAATAATATATAGGTTGAACGAATTCTATGGGAAGCCCATTAGAAATCGTCCAAGGGATATGTTTAAGGAGTCCATGGGCTGCTTAGGGCCTAAGCAGTCAGATTAGGGTTTCCTAGTTGTAAACCCTAATAGCCTACATGTATAAAAAGGACCCTTAAGCCCCAAAAACGTGGACAACACTTCCATTAGGGTTTCCAGCCGTTTTTGGTGCCTCCTTTACTTCTCCTCTTCATCCAAGTTGCATATGGTGTTTGTGACTCCATTAGAGGTACTACACTTGTGGTACTTGCTTTCAAGAGCTAAGGAAATTCAAGGAACTAGTTGTTATTGCTATATAACAACAAAAGGTATGTATTCTAGTTTTATATATGAATTTCGAAAATTATAGTAGCATGCCAGGTTTCTTTTTGTGTTCATAAAGTTGTATAACTAATAGTGAAAACATAGATCCAATACTAGGGTTGCATGCACACACAGGATTGTTTATATAAACCCAAAGGGTATCAGAGCCATTGGTTTTTGTTTTCAATTAGCTTTTATTCAAATTTATGAACTTGACATATTAGGGTTTATGGCTAATGAACCCTAAAGGCTAGTAATTTTCGCAATTAGGGTTGCAAAACCCTAGATGGCGATTTTTGCTAGGGTTTCCCAAATCCTTTCCTTAGCCTCCAAGATTTTGAAATCTAGGGTTATCCAACCCTTGGATTTCGAAATTACCTCCTTCCCCAAGGTTAGATCCTAAATTTTAGGGATTTGGATAATCCCATATCTTGTAATTATCTTTTAATTGTTAAATATGGTAATTAAAGATCTTGAATTATCCCATCCCTTATTTTCGAGATTTAGAGAGGGATTCAAGGGATTAGGATATCTTAGATGTATAATTGGTAATTATCCTCATGATCTAGATAATCCCTTGTGATTTAATAATTTAAATTAATTGTTTAATTTATGGTAATTATTAAATCAAGAGTTTTAATATTTAAAATTTTAATTTAAATGTCTTAAATTCGAAAATTTTAAGTGAGATTAAAACCTAATTGTTTTGAAGAGTTTCAAAACTTGCCCTCAAGTTTTGGAATTTAAATTGTTGATTAAAAGTTAATTTTGAAAGTCTAAATTCCAAAACCCTGATTTTGAAAAGTTCAAATTAAACCCTTATGGTTTTATTAAATTAATTAAGTGTATAATTAAAAGAGATTTAATAAATCCATAATGATTTTGGTTAGTTAAAAGTATAATTTAAACCACCTAGTATTTTAAAAGTGTAAAATACACCCTTATACTATATATAACATTAAAAGTTTAATATTATATATGGTCAGTCTTACCGTTAGTAGGCCTCATTCACGAAGCTAGTCTATAAGGGGTGTTTAAGGAAATTGCCTATAAAATGGCGATTGAATGGGTATCCACTCTTACCCACCGCACTCTTGACTAGTGGAGGGTCGTTAGCCGAACGGGTAGGATAGGACAGAAACCTTCCATTATAAGTATAATGAAGTACAAAGTAACTAAATGCTTTTTCAAATTCCCAAATCATAGTTACTTTAGGCAAAATGTGAAATTGTATGCTAACCCATGGAATTACACTTCGTACCCTTGTCAAACGTTAGTGGAGCGTGTGTGGTTAACCGGCACACTAATTTGGGGATGACATTGGTAGCGAAGGGTAACTCGATGTTTGTCATAGATCAATGGAGCGTGTGTGGCTAACCGGCACATTGATTAGGTGATAGTAGCATTGGGTGCACCACGTGATTCGTATGGTTATTCACACCTTGTTTGTGATCCTCGGCATCCCAGTCACGAATAGTAGGGCATAATCGAGATTAAACATGCCATTGAAGAGTTCAATGAGTCTCAAAAGATCTAGGAGTTTCAATTCATTTAAAACTTAAACTTCTTTTTCGTTTTTCATGGTGGAAATTGGTAAATCGTCATTTACCTACCTTCAAATATTCTGCAACTAGATTACGACATCCCTCTTCTAGGTTGTAGAGTATTGTGTTGGATCCTAGCTTGATGTTTCATTTGGGTGTTGCATCAAGAATTCTAATCAACTTAACTTGAATTTTCTCCCGTTTTGTAGATGTCTGAATCTTACAATGGTCTTCCCAAATCCTTTGGAACAAGCTTTCCAAATGAAGATGACGTTCCGAGATACGATCAAGGAAATGAGAGTCATGCTTCACTTCCTCCACCTCCTCCAATTATTCTCCCTGACCCACAAGTTCAAAGGCTTGAAAAGTTCAAGCTCACTCAAGCCCTTTTGGCAAGTAAACACGAAGATGGGAAACCTGTGTGTGCGCACGTCTTAGAGATGAAGTCATACATTGATAGGTTAAACATGTTGGGTGTCGAGATTTCAAGTGAGTTGGCTGTTGACTGGGTTCTTCAGTCACTTCCTGAATCATATAGTGAGTTCGTTAGAGAGTACTATATGATGGACCACGACGTGACCCTAATTGATCTCACCTATTTGCTTATAGCTGCTTAATCAGCAATGATTTGGCGTGCTGGTCAAGCAAATTTGTCTAGTGAATCAAACTCCCAAACTTCAATGGACACTGGCAACATTGGAAGTCCAGAAAGAACTAAGTCTGTGATTGTCCGATGTGCTGTGCCAAAGGAGTCCATCTGCTTTTATTGCCAAGAGAAGGGGCATTGGAGACGAAGCTGCCCTAACACCTGAAAAATCTAAGAGATGGGAGAGTCAGACGTATGGCTCTACTTCAGGTAAAATCCATTATCTAACTCTTTTGAGTTCCTATTCTAGATTCTTAATACATGATGTGATAAGATTACATTTTGATGTTTTGTAGGATCGAAGAAAAGAGAGGAAGCTTGAGAAAAGAAGTGAGCTGAATCTAATCATGAAGAAATGGATTTCGATCGCATTACTTGAAGAATGGATTCTTGAGCTACTACTTGGAGTTAGAATAGATTGTTAAGAAATATGTAATAACATAGTTTTTCAATTGAATTACATTGTAAGGACAAATTTTTTCTGCAATAAAATGAATTTTGATTTTATCTTATTTATTTATCCTTGCAATGGCATTATGAAAAACTAATGTTTGAATGTTTTATTATTAGCAATAATGGATTTGATTCTTAATTGTATTATTTGTGGAAGTGTCAAGAATTTACCAAGTAGGAGAGTTTCTCATCACCCAAGTTTCAATTGACAGAAACTTGGAATCATGCAATGTGTATTGTATGATGAATGAAAAACTTTCACATTTGGGAAACTTAGACTAATTCTTTGGCAAAGTGTCAATTAAAGGACAAGGAGATCAAGTACACAAGGTTGTGTGTTGATCAAGTCCACCACAAGAGTGACAAAGATATTCGTCATGATTTACTAAAGCTTAGTAAATATGATTATACTTATAAGATTAAGTATAATTATGAGTTGATTGAAAAGGTTTCAATGAATAGTAGAACGAATAAAGAAGAATCAAGTAGGCAGAAAGATAAAAGTTTCTCTATTCTAAGAAGAAGGGAGAGTACCTTTTATTGTGTTTTATGATAAGTCTTAATGATTAAGAACCATATCTCAATTGATCCTCTAAGTGAGTCTTAGTGCATTTGCATGTCTAAGAAGAGGTATCAAGTATTGTAGAAATGGATATATCAATAAGTCAATCATACTTCGTTCCAATATCAAGTCTTAAAGTCAAGATTGTGACATTGAGTGAAAAGTCTTAAGTAGGTTTATAACACTCATCAAATGTGGAATTTGGAAAAGTTTTCTTATTCTTGCACATTTGAAATTGGTAAGTTGTGCTGTCTTGGATAAGACAAAGACCAACTAGGACCAATTGTGTGAAGTGTTTTGTCTTGATAAATGCTTCACTAACTCTTGAATATTTGTTTGTCAAGAAATGTTTCTTGACAAGAGAATCTTATATGTCAAGAAGTCAGTGGGAGTCTTAATGGTCTTGAAAAGTTTCAAGAACAAATCAAGAATAAACCTTATCGATCATCACTAGCACACGACTTGAGGTTTACAACCTATCGTGCTGACATTGTTTTGTTTCTGTGCCATTCCAATTGAGTTAATTGTGTATATGAGTTCTATGAGTTCTCATTTGAATACACACTAAAGCCTTAGTCGATGGAAAGTAAATTGATATGTAAGGACAAGTTACTAAACTACTTGGAAGGCATGGTGGGCACTCGTGTTACCATAGGGCAAGAAATCAAGATTAAGAAAGTTCAGTCCATATGAGTTTGGATTTGTCGCAAACCTTGGTTTTGGCAAATTCACATGGATAGGAACTCATACACCATAAAATCTAAGTGTCATAAGATTCCCTCCTTCATGAAAATGACTGTGAGGAAATGCTTTCACTAAGAGAGATTTTAAGAAGATAGCAATTGTGAAAATTGTATTCTCAAATTCGATTATGGTTACGGCATCCCTTTCCATAGTTCGAATTGTGAGATTTGGCAATTAGTTTCAACATTTGGAACTTAGTAACATAAGTTATGAATTGTTTAAACACACATATGAGCTATCTAAGGCAAAGGTGTATAAGGTTAAGAAGCTTAGATAAAGGCTTATCGAAGCATCTGGTATTAGAAATATGAATTTCAGAAATTCAATAGGCATTGTTTTCTGGAAGTTCATTTGTTTTCTGAATACATGTCAAAGCTAGTGGGAGCATAAAT